GGATTGGGATCTACTTTGCTGTCAAACAACCACTTGATCTTCAAGTCTGCAAACTCTTCCCTACTATTCAACAGAGAAAGTGTTGCCATAATTGATAAAAATCACAAATTTTTATATCAAATTGCAACAAATTGTTTAGAATTTGCAAAATATTATTTAATTAAAAACTATTTATAAATCAAACATTTATTTAGACAGCATTTTAATAAATAAAACTTACGGTTTAAAAGTTATTATATACAGTATTTTGCAGTATTTATTATATGGCGTACATTTACGATAAAATTATATGACTTTATGATTTAATTAATTGCGTATAATGATTTGCAAATAATTATTTGAAAGTAATACTCGTGTCTTAGGAGTTGTAAAATAAACATATACTCTATTTTATTATAATAAACTGTATAATGTATTTTATATACGTACAGTATTTAGTATTAATAAAATATATTAATAAGTATAAAATTTATACTTATTTAATAAGTACATTGGGTATATTGGGTTAAGTTATTTATATTTATTAATTCAGCTTACCTAATTACTTAAATATCTTAAAAACTTATAAGACTATAATAATAAAAATAATTATTATTATGAAAAGTTACACCAATTTATTATTATTATTTACCAATACCCCAATACCAGCCAATACTTAGCCGTAAAAACTTTTGCTAAAAAGTAATATAATTTCCTAATTAAATATTTACCATGTTTACAAAATAAGCATATATTATATTATATTCATCCTGGATGATCACAAATATGACAACACTTTCATTATTAAAAAATCAAGAAGAGTTTGGGAGGTTTAGAGTTGAAAATAATTAACCAAGATCATACGCTACAATTTTTTCATATAAGTAGATTAAATGGGAGATAATACTTAAATAAGTTATTGTATAATATTAAAAGTAAAATTTCAAGGTTAAGATACCCTGTTTAAATTAATCGTATAAATAACGTATTGATTTTGTATTAATTCATGTTTTATAAATAATAAGTTATTATTAATAACACTTATTTATAATATTTTATAATTTTAAACAAGTATTTAAGTATTAGTAAGTTAATAATTTAACAAATACCAAGTTAAGGGTGAAATTTAGAAATTTAAATTTAAACAAAATTATATAATTATCTAGTAGAGTTAATAAGTTTGGGAACACATACCACATACACCGTGTCTAACATACTTTTATGGCATACCTGTGACATACAGGCATATAAACACTTAAGGTATTGATTATACAGCATTATAACGATAATCAACACAACTATCTATTAAGTTATAAGTGCTATTCAATAGTATTAACTTTTATTTCATAACTAAATCAGTGCTCAAAAGTATTGCAATCATAACTACTTTGCAAACCGATAAAAACGACACAATTTTCAGTATAAAAACAGTGACAGAATCAGCAAAATATTAAACTGTATTCAAAATACAACATACTTTTATACTTGTATACTTTAAAGTCTCAAAACTATTATACTTTGCATTGAATTCATATAAAAAGTTAATCAAAACCATGAGTTCGACCAACAAATCATCGCTACTGTTCTCTGAGCTGACACTCCGTGGCATAACCCTCAAGAACCGGATAGTGGTGTCGCCGATGTGCACCTATAGCTGCGAGGACGGTATGGTCAACGACTGGCATTTAGTACAGTACGGCTCGTTCGCCACGGGTGGGGCCGGTCTAGTCGTATGCGAAGCTACCGGTGTGGAGGCCAGGGGTCGGTTAGCCCCTCAGTGTCCCGGTCTGTGGAAAGACGAACAAATCGAGCCCTGGAGTCGAGTGACCCGTTTCCTGAAATCCCAGGGCTGTGTCCCCGGCATACAAATCGCACACTCCGGTCGAAAGGGTAGTACCGTTCCCACGTGGGTCGGCAGGAACTCCATCCATGATAAGGACGGCGGGTGGCAGACCATTGGACCTACGGCTGAGGCGTTTGGCGCCGACGTGTGGAAAGTGCCCAAAGAGGCCACCGTTGAGGACATACACCAAATCAAGGAGGCGTTTGTGGCCGCAGCTAATCGCGCCGTTAGGGCTGGTTTTCAGGTTATTATTTGCTATTTATTAATAAGTTTGATAACAACCTTAATTATAGTCTATAATATAGACTCTATATAAAAACCTATAAACCACGTGTCTCTTACACCTCCCTGTCCATTGATATGGTAACAGAAGGACAGGACTCTAATCATAACTAAAATACTATTAATTATTTAAATCATAATTATTGTAATTATTTAATATAAAATCCTCTTTAATGCCAATTGTTATAAATCATTGAATATACTAATCAAAATCCTATATTCAATAATGATGATCCAGGTAATAGAGCTGCACTTCGCGCACGGCTACCTCGTGAGCACATTCCTATCGTCGGCCACAAACAAGCGCACCGACAGCTACGGCGGATCCCTCGAGAATCGCATGCGATTGGGTCTGGAGATCGCGGAAGGGGTTCGTAAGACTCTGCCCGAGGCTGTAGTCCTGGGCGTCAGGGTTTCGGTGACCGACTACACCGACAACGGATGGGATGTCACACAGACCCAGGAGTTCGCCAAACGCCTAAAGGCGCTGAACATTGATTTCCTGGACTGTAGTTCCGGTGGTTTGGTATCTGACGTCAACTATAACTGCCTGAACACCAATGAAGTTCACATCAAGTCGGCGGCGCTCATACAGCGAGAGGTGGGCATACCTACCGGTGCTGTCGGCAAGATAACTGACCCGCACTTCGCGGAGCAAATACTACAAGAGGGCGGAGCGACTCTCATATTCATCGGTAGGGCGTTCCTAAACAACCCTCACTGGCCCTACGAGGCGGCCGACGCCCTGGCAAGTGAGCACACCTTCAAATACCCGGATCAGTACGACTGGTGTATCGGTTGGAAAGGGTTCGCCAAATGGCGAAAAGATATACATAAGGATCGCAATAATAATTAGGTTTTATGTTTAAACGATTTTGGCATTAACTTAATTTCACATAAAATTGTTAATAGATTAATGTATTAACTAATAAAGTGAGATAACTAAACTAGATGCACTCTGAAATTTTAATTTTGTATTTAAATTATTAAATAAATTAATGATAGTAAATTAATATTATTTTATTAATCTTTCAAATCCAACTATGTTGATTTTATTACTGTATAATAATAATTATATTATTTTTATTATAATTAATTGCAATTAAATTTTGAATGGATTCACATCATTAACATTGCTGTCCACCACGAGTTGGTTGAGTTGATCCCACTTTTCACACCACAACACGTCGTCCCTCACTTCAAACTTCAGTAAATCAATGAACCAATAGTAAGCCCCGTAAGACATTTGAATGACTGCACCCATGAAGGTGTCCAGGGATTGTCCATTGAGTGTGGGGTTCGCCATAATAGTGGCCCTCAATGACTGACACTCTCTCTCCAAGTGCTTGACATTCATGTAATGAGAGTCTATCGCCGACTGAACACTACAGCCCTCACCCACAGCATATGATATGATAGCATTGGTGATGTCATTTGTGGCCAGTTTTATCTTAAGACACATGTAGTCATCGACGGACACAATTAGCTTAACGACCGAAGACATGAATTCACACATGAGCGGGTGATTACGGACTGCCTCTGAAAGGGTATAACCCATGCTATGCTCGACCAGTGATAATGTCACTCGATATCCTTTTGTAGGTTTTAATTTAAATATAAACTTATTCAATAATAGTATCCAAAGTCAGGATTATATTTTTAAAAGTTACTTATAAGATAGTTAATTGGTATTTCTAATCTAATGTAAATTGTCATAAATATAATTGTGTTGACAATAACTAATACCTGACTCTTGTAGACGAATGTCATTGTATTCATCGTATGGTATGAATCGGTCTTTAAGCCAATAATCGCAATGAATAGTGACATGAATGGCAAACATATCCCGCAAGTATTGTCTCATATTAGACATCCAGTGCTCATCCATGTGTCCCTCCAACACATCCACAACCTCTAACAGTCTGCGCCCTATTATGTCATTATTTATTACAAATGTTGTAATCGTTTATAAATCTTTAAACCAATACCTGAATTAAAAGTCTGATCGCACCGTCCAGTCTCCATAGCGTTCAACAGCTTATCCATCAATTCTTTCAGTAATTCTGGTGACCGTTCCCTACGAGCCCTTTCCATATCATTATCCAAATATGTGATAAATTGAACCCATTTGCCAACATTTAGCAGTCTTTGCTTGGATTTGCAGCTACTGTACAGATAGGGTACAAATGCCATCGCATATGGGGTCGACTTTTCGCTGTAATGGGAGAACTCTTTGGACCATTTGGTCATCTCCTGTAACACCCATTCCCGGTGTGGACAGGGATTCATACCTTTGTTAAACAGCGGCCGAAACCTTAAGTTCGTGAACTCTTCGGTACTTTTTAATAGTGAAAGTGTTATCATGTTTTTGATATGAAAACTATTTTTATAGTTTAAATCACAATAATGTTTGGTTTAGTCTTAAGAGAGATAATGACTGACATTAAGGTTACTGTTATTAGAGTTTTTGTTGGCAAATGTGGCAATATTTAATATTATTTATTACTTTAGTGTACTGTACATACAGTATGGATACATATGGATTGCATTTTAAATATTTATTAATTCAAACTTAATATTAGAAATTAAAATGATATTATAGTTAAGAGCTAATTAAGATTACTGTTAGCTAATAATGTTTCACATTATGTTTTTCATTACAAATAATTTTGTAAATTACAAATAATTATTATTTAATTTAAACGATTTTAATTTAAACCAATATTTCATATGAATATTAAGTAATAGATTTCTCGGTATTAGTTGACCATTGAGTTCAATATATTTTAAACATTTAAGTCTTAATAAAAACATCAATAGATCGTCCGTTATGTAGACATTCAATAGTCTAATGAATTGAAGTTTGGCATAAATAGTGGCAAGATCATCGCAAAAATATGTATTCAGATTGGATTCAATTGTTAAATGCGTTAATCGTTTGCAACCATTGAATGATTCACTAATATATAAATCACCGAAAATATTAGCCGTTATACTCAAGAATTTTAAATTTCTAAAGTGTTTATTAATAATTTTAAACATTTTATCAAAATCTGTATCACTATTATGATGTAAATCTATAGATAATTGTTTTAATTTAACACATTTAACACCAATTTGTTTCAATTGACTCACAATTGCGGCACTAATTGCATGACTATTACCAGTGTTAGAGAAACAATGAATTTGTAAATCAATTAATTCTCGCATTTGGGATAAACTAGCAATTAGTTTATGAATCGAATTTTGGTCGTAATCTCCAATCAGATTCACACGAATTAATTGCAAACTATTCCTATAGTTTTCAACAAAATTATCAAATCTAATGTAGTATTCATTATTGTAAGTGAACTCAAAAGTTGTAAACTTTGTAAACATAATCTTATTTTTATCATTAAATATATGTGAAAGTGATTGATTTGCATTAATACTAAGTTGATTTAAATTCCGGCAATACTTTTGAATGTATTTCTCAAACATATCATACAAATCAGAGTTAATACATAAACACAATGTTTTCAATTGTTTGCCTAAAATTTTAAAAAATATTTCTATTGTGTTATCATCGAAGTCATTGCTATTGATATTTATGATAATTTGCTTCAAATATGTGCAATATTTAGCAATAAGTCCAATCATTGCATTGTTGACAACACTATTAAACAAACAAACAATAAATAAATAAATATGTTTATTGAATATTGATTAAAACAAATAAATACCCGATTTCTGATTGCCGTATAAACACGTTATTATAATACTTGCATTCAATTCGTGTAATATTTATGCACTTTTTGACAATTGTTTCAAATGATGGCACAATCTTTCTATAAATAATTAACTCGTTTTGTCGGTTATATACGAATCGTTGCCACTGTTTGGACAGACATTCACATCGGAATCGGTCCTCAAATGATAGGTAACTCAATAGGTCTTCACACAAGTCATCACCAAATCTATGAAAACTATTTTTACTATACATTTGCTATAAATTTATTGTTAATTACAAACTAATAATACTGTATTTAAATCTGAATAAATACAACACCATTTTATTACGAAATACTCACAACCCTAGCAATAGATAGTGAATTATTTTCATAGTTATATTACTTAACAATAATCAGTAAATTTAAAAAAATTGTAATTACATTGCAATCTCATACTTACCAGTAAAATAAAATAATTTTTTTTAATACAAACATTAATAGATTATAAAAATAATTTTGTAAACCAGTTAGTTTTTGCGAAAATAATTATTTATAAATAAATTTTTATTCAATTAATTTTTTCAAAAGACAAATAAAATTACAAATATTTTTTGTCAAATGTTTTTAGAAAAAATATATATACTTTTTGTTGATGTATTTGTTTTGTGTCAATAAATAATAAATCAATCAATACTTTCAATATATATTTCTTATAAATTTAAACACACTTTTCATATCAAACTAGACATTCATATCATTTTTATAGTCACTCTCAGCATAACTCTTAAAATAATTTTCTCATCAAAATATATATCATATTATAGTATTTTTGTGTTACAATTTTGTGCACAAAAAACTTTAAAAACCATTGTTTTTGTTTGTCAATAATATTCAAAACAAATTTTTTGACAATAAAAACAACAAAACAAATGTATTTGTAATGTATTTCTCTATTGGCGTCACAATTAAAATGATCACAAAATTATAATTTGGTTTTCAATTTCATTTCATTTCGTAAATCATACCATAATTATTAACACAAAAAACTTTTTAATTGGAAAAAATACCTAATCTTTTGTCGTATTAATTGGAAAAATATAAATTCAAAATATAATTAGAAAATGAAAAAAACTAAATTTTTAAATACAATTTTCAAAATTCAGTGCAAAATATATAATAATAATACAAAACATATAATCTTTTCGTAAATCTTTTTTCTCTTAAAACTTATTTTCATTCACAAAATATACACAAAAATCACTCAAAACTTTGCTCAAAATCATAATTACAGAAAATACACAAACAAATCGTTTGATTAAAACATCAAAAATAACATTGAAATTTCTAATTATATACTAAATATCTAAATAACTAATCACTGAATTGGAAAATAAAAATGAAATTTAAATAAGTAATGAAAATGAAATACAGATAAATGAACACAAGAATTGCATTTGAATTGTAATGAAATGAATGAAATATTCGTAGAAAACATATACTAATAATACGGACAAAGATTTCAAAACTATTATCGCCTTTTTGTGTGTGTTTTTCGCATAAATACATTAAACATATCGTGAATTACAGAATAAGTTAATGACAAATGAATGTTAAATACATGGAAATTAAAATGTAATTATTTTGCGATATACTTATTATTATTATTAATCGTTTATTACTATAAATGCTATGAGAGCTGCGAAAAATCAATTAGCGTATTTATATATATTATATAATCGTTATATTAATGATAGTAATGAATATATCCGTTATATCCGCTATAGTGAAGCTCGTAATACACAATGAAAAGTGCATTATATATATGATAGAGAATTGCTATGAAATACTAAACGTTTACTCTTACGGTTAGTGTTGAGAGAAAATCATACATTAATTATATACTTAGGAAACAAGTGCTTAAATATGTAATGTTATGTTATAACAACATTTAGAGGTATCGCCAATTAGTGTATATAATAGTACTAGTTGTAGCACTCTATAGTGTACGTATTATATAATTAAGTGTAGTACACTGAAAAATAACATTGGTAATGTGTGTTTGCATAAGCATTTGAATGGTAGTTGAGTACAAAGTGTAGGATTTTGAGTACACTATAGAGATGTATGACATATTGGTGAGGTGTCATGTTGTGCAGTTAAAGCCAGGTCTATGTTAATTGATTTTTAAATATAAATAATAGAAATCATATAATCATATTATGTGAGCATATATTTATTCTGGAAACACATGTATTTGTATGAATCAATTGTTAAAAACTCAGTATATTTCCACACAATTAAGTCAATAAAAGGATTGCATGAGAAAAACAAAAAGATTTCATCGCTTGTAATATTCATTAAAAGTTTGCAAATTTAAATAGATATGAATTTATGGAATAATAGGCGATATCAGGAAAAAACATTATGTCCTTCTGTTTGACTACAAATATGGAAATGTTTTAAATTGTTATTAAATAAAAAAACTTTTTAAAAATCTCTAATCATTGAGTACTACTACTACTACTACTGTCACTAAATTTTCCACTTTTTTAATACTGTAAATAATTTGAAACTTAAGCGAATTTATGTAGGGTAGTCACTTTATTAAGTACAATAATTGCTATGAAATATAAATCCTAATCAAAAAAATAAATGAAAATAAATTCAAGTGACATCTCTGCAAATTATAGACTATAATAGATTTTGGTTGTTTGTTAACATTTTGCAAAAAATAACACTTAAGAGATTTTTTAATGAAATACTTTTACAAATAATTAGTTCAAGAATTCACTGAATAAAATAAATAAAACTTAAAAGTATATAAAATTAAATAAATTTACTTTTTTATATTAAAATCTAATAATAGAATTACTTTTAAATTAATAGTAAAATTGTGCTAAAAGCTTTTAGCACTCTAAAAATTTTCATATTTAATCCAATTATGTGTTTAATTAGAGAGAAAAATGTGCATAATTTTCAACATACAGTACATTTTCCAATGTTATTACGAGCACCAAAAAACCATTGATTCATAAACCAATTAATTACATAAATCTCTAACACATTCATTATACAAATACATGTGTTTTAGCTTAATATTATAGAATCTCATCAATTATGACACAGAATATTCTGAGCGCACATATAGTTTGGCCGCAATATACCAATACATTTACAATGAATATACTGCAGAATAAGGTGCAAATAGTGTACAACCGCTTGTATGCCATAACTAACTGGTAGATAATGTACAAAATCAGTTGTACTGGTTAACTCACTCGTACACTATACACATCAATGTCTAGACAACGGTGTAATTGAATTTCAAGTCGGAGACAAAAATATTGTCTGTATATTACACTTAAGACTACAGAAAAAAGCTTTCGTTTTCTGCACCGAAATAGTGAAGCGAAGAGCAAAACAAAGATTTATTATATTTGCGAAAATTTTAAACTCATTTTTCATCACTTTTTCCGAAAGAGAGAGAAAATCGAGAGTAAAAGCTATTTAAATGGAAAACTCGATTAAAATTCTTATACTTTTGTTTGTTTCTCTATGAAAGTCTACAAAAATTTTACGAATAAATGGTGTGGAGGCTGTCCACCCAAGTATACAATAGTTTTTATATGGAATATAGTATTTGCGGCAAAAGTAGAGGTCACTTGGAAATGGAGGTCTAATCTAAATATATATATCTCTGATATTCTTATATACTGTATAATAACATTTTTATTAAATAGTATTTTTTCTGTATCCGTACATAAAATAAACTTATTTTCATATTTAATCGATAAATAAATTCATATCCAATATATAATTATCGTATCAATGTACTGTTTAGTAAAATCTAATGAATCAACTGTTGATATACTATAAGTTAAATAACTATTCGTTAAATGTATGCAAATTTTTAAACTGTAATTATCAATGAAATTATTTTTAAATTTGTTTTTTGTTTTCGACGGCCAAACATAGAAATGTAAGTGAAATATAAATATATAATTAAATCGATTTCAAATGAATTATATAATTATCAGGGAATTAAACTGTTTATAGTTTACTATATTCTTACGTAATGGTCGTGTTATAGACTAATTGTTTTTTAAATAGAGGTTTAATTAAATCTTAATTAAAAACTTTGTTTCAATAGTAATAGTGAATGCTTTCTCTCCCAATGAGTATGAGATTTGGTTTTACATAAACACTCGTAAACACAATGACAATGCATTTCAATAAAATTCATGTGATTTCGCATTCATAGCTATAAATTGCATTTAACTTGTTAACTATCTATAATTACCAAGTATATTTTTAAACCCGAAATTCTATATCCATTATAATATATAAAACTTTTTACAATCATATCTTTGGCTTTCAATTCACAATAACGAGTGTTTACTGTAAGACCGCTAATAGGTATCTAAAAAGTATACATCTTTTTTAAGTTTTCAATACTTATTAATAGTATTTGTTATCATAATTTATAACAATTCTTACATCAAAAGAGTTGCAAAAAATATTTTTCTGACACAAAAATATGAAATATTTATATAACTTTTGATTTGGCATTAAATGTAACGTTAAAATAGTAGTTCTCTTATAAGTTATGTCAATAGGAGTGGGATTTCGACGGCTATTAGTATATAACGAAACTGTTATATGAGATATCAATTCAAAACGTTAAGTAATTGTATTGAATGTCAATGAATACAGAGATAAATAAAAACTCAATTAATTGTGTGAATGAATGATGGGATTGAATGGCAATTGTCAATGAAATGACTAATAAACGCGTGAATGAAATCAAATGCTTATATGTTTTTAATACAATTGATGTCATGATTAAATGGTTTGTGTATTTGAAATGTTGTGTTAGAATAGCGCTAATGATTTGATGACAATGTGTCCGAGTTTTGCTATTTTTAGTAGTGGTTTGTATTCACAGTTATAATTGTGTCTCGTTTTTCGTGAATTATACGGTAATTCGTAATGATTTATCAAATTTCAATCAAAATTCCTGATTATATACTCGTCTTATGGTCCGGGAAAGTGATTAATAAATATGAAAAACACTTTTCCCACAAAATATTTATACGATTCTGTGTTTTGTTATATTAAATTGCAATTTAAACTCATTATGTATTCATATGTAGGATCAATGGTGCGAGCGATTGATTCATTAGATTTATAAAATAATTAATAAATTAAACAAAAAAAATTAGAGACAAAATAAAACTGCAAATAAATTCTTAAACAAAAATAATATCAATAATAATCATAAATAGAAATTAATGTGTAATTTCAAAACTCGTGATTTTGTTGCCATAAATACCGGGGTATATCGTGTATATATATATCTCGGGATATTAAATAAGTGAAAACTTTGGTCGATATATGATATAAACAGTCAAAAAATAAAATGTTTGGCCAATAATTGTTGTGTTCATACGGTTTTGCATCAATAGATTTGTGGTCATCGATGGTGTGGTCATACCAATCATCACTCGCGTCGGATCCGTTTGCTTGTGCGCGACAGTGTTGTCGTGGTTGTGGCCACAAAATCAAACTCCGGTCCACCCATTATACCGCCCTTTATTGTGCCTATAGTTCCCCACAAACATACAAAACCATTAAAAATAAATCCAAATCACATAAAACTTATACCAAATAGTAAACATTACTCGAAAGGGACTACACTTCAAGCACTTAATTAACGATAATAATAGAAAACTTGTAAACAGTCCCCTCGTATACCCTTCCCTCCCTGTCCCCTAACATATGACAGGGGCTATAATACTGACCGGAATGTCTGTATCGTTTTTTGGTGTCGACCTGGGACTGGGCGGTCAGTTGCAGTTGAATGGCCGACGTGTTGAGCTTATCGGCGAGCAGTAGGTGCTTAAGACCGGCGATCTTCTGACTCGTAAGCGTCACGAATGTCTTCTCGTCCGTCGACGCCCTCCTCTTGTGGTCGTCCCCTCTGTCTGTCCCGCGTTTGCCGAACAAGTGCTGTGTTTGCGGGGCGCTTGTGGTGGGGGTCGACGGCGTACTTCCGGGCGTATGGCTGTCCTGCGGTGTGAACACGTTCTCGATGTCCTGACCCAATAGGAACCGGGGGTTCAGTATGTTTTCGCTGCACGCGGCGGCCAGCGCTGCGATCGTTGGGTTAGGTTCACCGCTAGAGTCCATGTCCTTCACCAGAGACTTAATCAGTTCCGACTCCGAGTGGCTGTCCAAACAGATAATCAATTAATACATAAAGTCTTAACAATAAATATGGGATGTGTTGACCACTACTACTGACCAAAGACTTGCATCAGAATTAACATCACTTTCGTCGACATCGGCTTTGGATGAGTCGTCCATTGAATGAGTTTTGTGTGAATTATTTTTGTTATTCATCGTCTGATTATTATTATTATTACTATTCTTATGGTTATTGTTATCACAAGTGTTTGTCTCGACTTTTGCGGCGGCTTTGAGGTCCATGTCGTCGTCCTCACCGGACTCGTGGCCCTCCTGTTCCTCATTCTCCTCATTGATATCGGCTTTGATGTCGACTTTGGCTCTGATATAATGCGGGAATTTGGCGATTGTGGCCACCAGTGGCTTAGCCCACCCAATGTGGAGCACCGGTGTGGACGAGCCCTCCTCCCAGCCGCAGAGGCCGTCATAAAAGCGCAACAGATATGCGAAACACTCCGGGTCTTGGAGTAGCGGTTTGGAGGACATGCCGGAGGGCTCGCACCCACCGGCCGACACCACCCGAACCATGTGTGGGATGAGTTCGTTGGCGATCTCCAGAAACTCTTTGTATATCTCCTCGTCATCTCTCGTATAGTTGTATTGTTTCACCACTTGAGCCGCTGTTTGAAAACACAAAAACAAACCCACAATTAGACCACAGATTAGACATTAATGTGTGTTTTATGTGAACGCCTTATATAATGAACTAATTGTTTAAACATAATTAATGAATTCACATGTAATTTATAGCTCACTCGAGAGAGTCATATAAATGGTACTCACTATACACTTAGTGTTATATTAAAAACCATTTATGAACTAAAACTAACGATACAAACAATTAGTCAAACAAAAGGATGTATTGTTTGCTACGGTATTAGTGAACGTTTGATATAATCAACGAAATGATTAATTATAGCAACAAATTAAAACTCCAGTCAAAAGGCATTTCCAACAAAATAAAACCCAAAACTCAATACGAAAAACGCAATAAAAATGTCAAAATAAAAATCAAACACACCGTCGGCCCACGTCTTGAGCGCCTCCTTGAACCTGCCATTCCTGTAGAGATAGCCGGCGAGGTATGTGTAGGGGTAGACGTGATGGTTGGCGTACGTCTTTTTGGCCACATTTATGGCTTCGTAGAAGAGCTCTATGGGTGACTTGCGGGGCGTCAGCGACGGGCAGATGTCCTCGAGATCACCCAAATTGCCGATAGCCATGGGGTAGATCGCCATCTGACTGTTCTCGTACAGTATCCACAGCAACTCCTTCTGCAGAATCGCCAGTTCCTCCGAGTCCTGGTTGGCGTTGATCGACGGGTTCATGGCTGAGACCAGTGCCGCCACAGCCATATAGCGGCTGCAGATGATGGCGTGACCGTTGAGGTAGAGCCACGAGTCCGAGCTCGTGGTCACCGGTTGACCCCGTTTGTCCTCATTGCCCTTCCCGTGCCAGGTCACCTCACACGTCTCACCTTGATCAATTAGAGTATGTTTATATACATTTATTAATTGATTGTAATTAACAAAACATAACTTTAATTAGTGTACTTTTAATAAAATTATAATTAATAGTGAACTGAATGGCTGTACAACACGTGTCAGTCATACCCCCATAAGCTATTACTTGTCTTAATTGAGTATTAAATGCATTAAATTAATTATTTTTTGTAATCATTTAAGTCATTATGTTTTCAATCAATTAGTTTAGACTCTAAACTTTAGAGTACAGTAATAATTATTATAAATTATAATAACAAAAACATTTTATAACTTTAATGCTATTTAAGAGTAGACTACGTGTACCGCATGTGGTCAACAAAGGTTAGCCCTAATTGCGAGGGGAATGGTATGCATACCGTCGGCAAAGACGACCCACGCGTGGTCTTCGGAGAGGGCCAGCTGTACGTCGTCGAGGCCCAGGAGCTGACAGGCGGCCACCACGGCGTAGGCCACACCGAAACAGTCCAACTTATTGCCGGTCAGGTAGGAGTAGACGGTCTGCAGGTGCGCCCTATCCTTATAATAGGAGCGCGTCAAATGACCCCAAATCACGTCCGATATCTTCTTAATGAGTTCGCGGGACGTCTTCTTTGGATACAGCGATAGATCAATGGATCCTATCATCGGGTACACAGAAAAACATACAATTAATTAGATTTTTAATTAAACGGTTTGTAATGTTTTCATGAATATTGACGTCAGTTATGAATATAGTGTGTCGTTAATGAATGCATGAATTATTTGTTTTAATTATGTTCAGCGAGGTATGTGCCGCTTATAATTAGTGCTTTTCAAATATATTTCGTTTGCTATAAAAATAAAACTTTTCATAACATGTGTACATAACATTTGTTATACACTTTTATCTAAATGTTAATAACGTATTGATTAGGAATATTCTCGTAAATCCGGTATAATGTAAACGTGTGCCTAAAATACACTTTAATGTACTTTAATATACTTTAATGTATTGTGTACTGAAAAAGTTTTGAAATATATTCACGATTAATCAATTAACAAGAATTTCTTAATCAACAGTTTAGTGTTTTGAAATACAAATCCATAAATTAAATCAAAGTCTCGTAAAAAAGTAAATAAAAATCAAAAATAAAGTGTTATTCTTGACATTTATAATCAAAAACGAGTTGTAAAACAATTCATATAATAATCATATAATTAATATGAAAAAAGGCACACATTTCTCGTGAAGTGTTTAAAAATATAAAAAAAATCAATTTCACAGTCCTTTCAGATTTAACAGATGTCTTAACAGTGCGTTAAATATATATGATATCATAAATTAAATACAATTAATCACATGATAAGTATTGTAAAATAATAACAACTTTATTTGCTCAAGTGTGATAACTAGCATATTTTTCTAACCCTTTAATTATTTGATAATAAATGTAAGTATAGTGTACTTCAAAAAATATTACAAATTCTTTTGTAGTGAAATAATTGCTAAAATATTTTTCTTATTGTATTTTATGGTGAAATAAATTGAATAAAAAATATATTTCTTACAATAAAACGCTTTTAACAAAATTTAGTTCAAAGTCAATACAAGTAATAATCGTAATATTTTTTGGCATAATTTCTAACTTTTCATATTAACTTATAATTCAAATACAAATTATTCATGATATTGTATAAATAAATTATTAGCTAATACAGTACACGAATAAAAACTTATACACAAAAATCGATAATACATGGCAATTAAAAATTACTTTCCAAAATCTATATAATACTGTATATAAATGTAATTTAAACACATTTATAGGGAAATCCCTGCAAATTAAAGTCGCTATAAGTTATTCGCGTGTTTTTTATACCAATAAAACCATATGACTAAATAATGTATTTAATAAATGAATTCATTTATAGCATTAAGGAAAAATTATGAAAACATTTCTAATATTATTATCATTAAATACATGAAAACTCAAGCAATGAAGTGAGTGATAAAAATATATAAAACATTTTGAATAAATAAATACTTAATACAGTACATATAAAATGTAAATGTATATAAAATGTTAGTCTCAAATATCAAATACATATAAATATTGCATAACTTTATTGGAAAACCTATTAATAATTGATTGCGAAAATTAACTAAAAATAAAACTTATTGTATGACTGAAAGCAATCAATAAATTGAATATTTGACTAAAATATCGAGATGCTTTTAAAAATGTATTCTTTTTGTATAAAAATAATTATTTTTATATAAATTGTAGAATATTTAAAGAAAAATTTGTCTTTTGAATACATTTTATGCGAAACCTAAGCGTGGGTTTGACGTCAATTCAATTGAATTTTATTTTTAATGTTTTCGTCTAAAACTTTGCGAGAGAGAGAGAGAGAGAGAGGGAGAGAGAAAGAGAGCTCCAGAATAACTTTTGAATACATTTTATGCGAAACCTAAGCGTGGGTTTGACGTCAATTCAATTGAATTTTATTTTTAATGTTTTCGTCTAAAACTTTGCGAGAGAGAGAGAGAGAGAGAGGGAGAGAGAGGGAGAGAGAGAGAGAGAAAGAAAGAGAGAGAGAGAGCTCCAGAATATATAAGAATATTCTGCAAATTTAATGAATAATAAAATCGATACAAAACTATAAGAGATTTTCTGAAAAACATTTTTTTGTGTAAACAACAAAAAATTAATACAATTTTCAACATAATATAAGTCAATAAAAAATAAATGACAAAGTTTTTCGTACGAAATATCTCTTTAAAATCAAAAATATGTTGTTTATTATGTGTAGTACTGTACACATATACAGTACAGTGCAAACATTATATTAGTACTGACATTATATTGTGAGTATATAAAAATATAGAAAATGTATTATTAATGTTATTAACGATTAGATAATTAAAAGTAAAGTGTGTTTATTATACACACAGTATTTAATTAATTAATTCTAGAAAATTGTTGCCTATTATTATCATTACAAAAATAGTCTAAAATTATAATGTGTTTTGCAATAATAAAAACACAAGTATACAGTATTACACATAAACTAATTAATTTTTTTGTACTTTAATTTTCATCAAAATATTAGAAATACTAATTTTTGTGAATAATGTCAAAAATATGTAATTTCATAATAAATATGTTTTCAATTTTCTTCGTTTAATAAGTAATATATATATATATAATATAATAATTTCATTCAATTGTCTGTATAAATAAACATGTTTTTCGTTTGCGAACCAAATAGTATAATAGAAAACATTTTAGATTTCTATAAACATTTTATAAGAGTACAGTACTTATGTAACTCTCAATATATTAAATGTATACAAATATAGATTTCGTAACATTTATATTAAAAAAATATAAATTATATTCTTGCACTGAACATTCAAGTGAATCTCTAATTACATAAAGAGTACAGTACTTATGTAACTCTCAATATATTAAATGTATACAAATATAGATTTCGTAACATTTATATTAAAAAAATATAAATTATATTCTTGCACTGAACATTCAAGTGAATCTCTAATTACATCAAATGAAATAACAAAATTGAAAACTTCGCATTTACTAGTACTGTCTCATATTAAATAATATAATTTATATAAACACATAAAACGAAAGCTATAATTAAATTATATATCAAATAATAAATGAAAAAAGAAATAATAAATGATTAGTCGATAATCTAATAGCGTTATGTACAGGGTATATATGCACTTAAAAAGAGTCCATTACTTTCATTAAACAAACACTGATATTATTTTAGGCATTCATTACTCATTTAGTGAATATTTCATGAAAATCTAATTGAATTTCTATATACTATGTATTTTTTAAATTACAGTTATATATACCCCACGCTTATAGTAAACACATTCACTATTATAAATCCCTTAAATTTAAACAATATAGCCAAATGTCAAACAGATACTGTATATACCATAAACAAATAACAAACATATTTACGATTAGTCCCATAAAGAATCCGATAAATTATCAGCAATATAGCCATACGATTCTGTAATATTCTGTGTAGATTCCGTAAACAGAATACATTACATACTAATAGGTATATAGCGTTCAATATAACGAGTGTATTGTGTAATAAAACCTTTTTATTGAATGAGAAAAAATGTTGTCAACAGATCGATAGTGCAAAACAGAGTCTATGTGTTTTATATGTCGTGTATTTTTACTTATTTTTAATATAAGTTTGATTTTTATAGCACACGACGACTCGTCTATTAGATTGAATCCAAGGATAAAATACTGTATTTATGTTATTTTTATCGAAACTTAAACACTCGTATACTCGACAAGAATATTGACTTAAATAACAGTAAAATAAATATTGAAAATATTATAATTTTTTGACTTAAAAACAGATTTTCATATTTTTTGTTAAAGGGAGAGAGAGAGAGAGAGAGAGAGAGAGAGAGGGAGGGAGACGGCACTCGGAAATCAATTATAATGTACAGAATATACTATAGAAAAGTAAACTTTAAAACCAAAAATTCAGAAAAAGTGAAAAACAAATATATATTTTACATAAATGAACACATTATGGCAAAAACAAAGTAGAAAAATACTTTCAACAAATTTACATTTCATTAAAAATATTAAATATGGATTTCAGGAAAAACTTTATTTTTATGCTTAACTTTCGCTGAAATATAAATTATTAAAAGAAAACATAAACACATGACTCGAATAGGAAGGGGGAGTGAAAAGCGAAATAAATAACAAATTCTTTTAAGGAAATATAAATTAAAAGCAATACTAATAACGAGAGAGAGAGAGAGAGAGAGAGAGAGAGAGAGAGATTGGAGTAGAGAATCAGACATATTAGTGATATCCGATGTATTGATGCTTATAATAGATGTAATCAATTATAACACATGTAATACAATAACAACTTTATTTCTCTTGTTTTTCATATAAACAACGAAATTATGTTATTTTCCTCTTTATATTTCTCATTCACTGTTGGGTTTAGGGCTGTGTTTGACGTCAACACAATAGGCGCACAAATACTAGTGACTAAACATAACTATTACGACGAAAACCAATAATTTAATAATAAATATAATCATAAAAATAGAGACAAATAGCGAATAGTCGTATGAATCGAAACAATGCGAAACAAAGTGAGTGAATGAGTGACTGATAGACTTATTCACGATAATTCACAATACAAACACATCTTATGTCCACAAATAATTTCACTTAAAATACAAAATTCCGTAACAAAAAGGAAATTACTTTAAAAGGCTTTTCTAATAAAAATATTAAAAGAAAATCAAAAATAATATAAGATTTATCTATATATTCCCAGACTCTCTCTCTCTCTCTCTCTCTCTCTCTCTCTCTCTCGTTATTAGTATTGCTTTTAATTTATATTTCCTTAAAAGAATTTGTTATTTATTTCGCTTTTCACTCCAAATAAAGTTGTTATTGTATTACATGTGTTATAATTGATTACATCTATTATAAGCATCAATACATCGGATATCACTAATATGTCTGATTCTCTACTCCAATCTCTCTCTCTCTCTCTCTCTCTCTCTCAACAGAATTGTATTCCGAAGACAAAGACGAAGGCATCGATCGATTGCTGACTCAAAAAAACTA